TAGTCTAGCTAAAGGTTTGTTGACGTTGTTGATCTCTTCAAAGAACTAATTTCTGGTTACACTGATACTCTCTGTTGTCTTTCTATTCCATATTCTGTGAATCTCCACTCTAATCTGTATTGTTTCTTTCCTTCTGCTAGCTTTGAGTTTAGTTTGGTCTTTCATATCTACTACCTTAAAATGTACAGTTATGTTGTTTATTTAATTTGCACTGTTTTGTGAATTTTCTGGTTTTCCTTCTGTTATTCTAGTTGCATTCCATTTTATTTGTGAAGATACTTTGTATACTCTCAGTCTTTTAAATCTTACTGACTTTTTTGTAGCCTAAGCTGAGTTCACTTGAGAAGAATATGCATTCTGCTGTTGTTAGATAGATAGAGTATTCTGTATATGTTTGTTAGGCTGAGTTCACCTGAGAAGAATATGCATTCTACTGTTGTTAGATAGATAGAGTATTCTGTATATGTTTGTTAGGCTGAGTTCACTTGAGAAGAATATGCATTCTGCTGTTGTTAGATAGATAGAGTATTTTGTATATGTTTGTTAGGCTGAGTTCACTTGAGAAGAATATGCATTCTGCTGTTGTTAGATAGATAGAGTATTCTGTATATGTTTGTTAGGTCTGTTTGGTTTATAGTGTAGTTCAAACTCCTCTGTTTCATTGTTCTATTCATTACTGAAAGTGGGATGTTGAAGTCTTCATGTATTACTGTGCAACTGTTTATTTCTTCCTTTAGTTATGTCAATGTTGACTTCATATATTTTCAAACAACTTCATATATTTTGGAACAACTCTTTTGTTCTTCACATATATGTTTTAACTTTTCTATTGTCTTGACAGATTGAACTTTTCATCGATATATAATGTCCTTCATCTCTTGTAACATTTGTCACTTAAAAGTTTGTTTTCTCTGGTTGTAGTACAGCCATCCTAGTTCTCTCTTGAATACTGTTTGCATGGAATATCTTTTATCATCCTTTTGTTTTTCAGCCTCTTTTTGACCTTGTATCTAAAGCAGGTGTCTTACAGTTAGCACATACTTGGTATATATTTTTTAAATATACTCTGCCAGTCTCTCACTTTTAATTGGAGAGTTTTATCTATTCCCATTTACAACAACAGTAATTAAAGTTATTACTGATAAAGAAGAATTTACTTCTGCCATTTAACTATTTGTTTTATATGTCTCCTGTTTTATTTCTCAGTTACTCCATTACATTTTTTTTTAAGTTGATTTTTGGTAGTATACTGTTTTGAGTCTCTTCCTTTCATGTATAATTTTTAAAATTTTTTATTAATAGTTACCTTGAAGATTATAATTAATATCTAAAATTTATAATAGCATATTTGAATATCAATTTAATTATAGTAGTATACGAACACTCTGTCCCTTCCCTTTATATTGTTTTGTCACATATTGCATCTTTATACATTAATTGTTCATTAACATAGACTTATAGCTATAATTTTATGTCTTTTGAATCACATAGGAGAAAAAAGAGGAGTTATAAACTGAAAGTATGAGAGTACTGTTTTTATATTTGCCTATGTAACTACCTTTGCTGAAGATACTTGTTTCTTTATATGGCTTCAAACTACTGTTTAGCCCTTTCATTTCAACCTGGAGGACTCATTGTACTGTTTCTTCTAGAACAGATCTGCTTATGAGCCACATCAGCTTATGTTTATCTGGGAGTTGTCCCAATTTTGCCTTCATTCTGAAAGGATAGTTTGCTGTGCATAGAATTCTTTGTTGACAGTTTTTTTCCCCTCAGCCTCAAATATATTTCCACTGCCTTCTGATCTCAGTGGCATCTGATGAGAAATCAGCTGTTTATTTTATTGAGGATTTTGTCTTTCAGTTCCTACAATTTGCCTGTAATGTGGAACAGTGTGAGTTTATCCTGCCTGGGGTTTGTTCAGCTTCCCAGGTGTGTATATTCATGTCCTGCATCAGGTTTGGGAAGTTTTTAGCCATTATTACTTCAAATAACCTCTCTGCCCCCTCCTGTCTTCTGTCTATGATGCCTGTGTCAGGATGATTAATGCTGTCTTGTGGATCCTTAGGCACTGGTCATTTTCACTTGTTTTTCTTTCTGCTTCTCAGACTGGATGATTTTGGTTGCCTTAACTTCAAGTTTGCTGAAGATAAACTGTTTTTGCCTTCTCAAGTGGTGTTGAAACCCTCTAGTGAGTTTTTCACCTAAATTATTGTGCTTTTCAGCTCCAGAATATCTTGTTTCTTTTCATATTTCCTGTCTCTTTATTAATACTCTCATTCTGTTTATGTGTTGCTTTCTAATTTCCTGTAGTTCTTTGTCCTTGGTTTCCCTTAGCTTTTTGAGCATATTTAAGATAATTGATCTAACATCTTTGACTAGTCAAGTATCTGGACTTCTTCAGGTATTATTTCTGTTGATTCTTTTTTACCATGTGACTAGGCTATACCTTCCTGTTTCTTTGCATGCTTTGTAATTTTCTGGTTTAGAATTAGACATTCTGAGTATTTTACTGTGGTGACTTTGTGTGTGTCAGTCAGTCAGTCGTGTCCCAACTCTTTGCAATCCCGTGGACTGTAGCCCTCCAGGCTCCTCTGTCTATGGGATTCTCCAGGCAAGAATATTGGAGGGGGTTGCCATCTCCTTCTGCAGTGGTGACTTTGGAACTCAGATATTCCCATTCCTTGGGTATGGCTGATTTCTGCCTGTTTAGGGCTGGAGTGTCTACTTGTAACTTTTCCATACTTTTCACAAAGTGTTTATTCCTTCTTGTGTGTGGTCATTGATATTTCTATTCCATTATCTGTGGTCTGGACAGTGACCTGATAAAAATTTCTTTAAATATTTGGCTCCAAAATGGGAAAGAAAAAGAGGGATAGTCTTATCCTGTTAAATTTCCAGTAGTTGCAGGGGAAGCCTCTGAAGCCTGAGAGAGCTCAGATCTGGCTCCTTGGGGATCTACCAGCTGATCACAACTTGCAAGATAAACTTTCTGAGGACTGTGTCTCCACTGCCAGCCAGACACGGGGAACACCGCTCACTGTATGGCTTCGGTGGGCCTGTGGTGTGTGTAGCTGTTGCTGGTTTGTGTGTGCTGTTCTTCTGCACAAGGCCAACACTCTCCTTTCATCTAGCACTATACTGGTTGTTGAGTCCAGTCAGGTTCCAGAGCTCTGAAATGGTTGATTCTGATCATTTTTTCCAGTTACCAGTTGAGGGAGTGACCCCTTGAACTTCCTACCCCACCATTTTGTGTAATGTCCTCAAGGTCCATTTTTTCCATACACAGGTGTTCCGTTGTCTCCACACCATTCGTTGATGAAGCAGTCCTTTGTGTGTGTCCATGCGCTCAGTTGCTCAGTCATGTCCGACTCTGCAACTCCATGACTGTAGCTCACCAGGCTCCTCTGTCCATGGAATTATCCAGGCAGGAATACTGGAGCGGGTTGCCATTTCTTTCTTCAAAAACAATCCTTTGCCCCACTGAATTACAGTAATGCTTTTGTTCTAAATCCATTGACCATACATGTGGCTATACATATTTTAAGGGTGTGTTTATTGTCTGTCTGTCTGCCCCACTAGAATGTAAGCTTCACAAAACAAGAATTTTCATCTGTTTTGTTCAGTGTTATATGCTGGTGCCTAGCCTAGCATCCAGCATATGGCAAGCACTCAGTAATTTTTTTTTACTTTTTTGTACTAAACTATCTGTCCTATGAAAATTATCATTTTTATGTTATTAGATACAGTACTGCAGTGAATATTTTATGCCTATCATCTTGGGCACAAATTCTATTAGAGCTGGGGTGAAACTGCCCAGTTTTAGCATTAGCTCAAATTTTGAGTTATCCCGTTTTCTCTCCAAAGTAGTATGGTAGATTCTCACTCCTACAGCACAGTATAGGAATTTCTGTTGCTTCACAAAGTCCCTAACTTTGTGACTATCATGTGACTTTTTCAATTTTGTTACTCTGACGGATGAGTGTGCTACTTCATTTTATTTAATTAGCATAAAATCATTATAAGATTGAACATCTTTTCATGTTTGTTAGCTGTTCATCTGAATTGCCTATTCGTATTCTTAGAACCAGGTTGTATGTGTGTTCTTTTATGTATCAGAGTTGTTCATGATTTCTGTATACTGATTCTTTGTCAGTGATTGGCATTGCACATGGCTTCTCCCAGTTTGTGAGGGGATTTTGTTTGTTTGTTTTTTCTTTAACTTTTCATTTTGAAATAACAGATTTACAGGATGTTGCAAAGAGAATACAGAGAGGGCCTGTGTATCCCTCACCTCCTGTCCCCATTGGTTCTCTCTTAAATAACCAGAGTACAAGATCAAGTGCAGGAAATCAGCATTTGTTCAATGCCTGTGTATAATTCTGTGTCACTTCATCATGTGTAGATCTGTGTAGCATCACTGGAGTCGAGATACACAGCTATCCCAGCACAGTGGGGGCCGAGGTCCTGCTGCGAGTTTGTAGCCACGCCTATCCCACTTCATCCTCTACCAGCCCAGCCCTGCCTCCGCTAACATACTCCATGTCTGTAGTGGTGTCATCTTGGCAACACTGTATAAAAGGAGTTATATAACGTGACCTTTTTCACTCAGCTAATACCCTTATGATTCATTTAAACTGTTGGGTAGATCAGTAATTTGTTTCTTTTTATTGCTGGGTGGTAGTTCCTGTAGTAGACTACCACAGTTTGTTTATTCCCTAAAAGGAGTAAACTGGGGTCCCTGCTCACAGGAAAAGCACCTGTGGGTGCTGGTCAGTGTTATAGCCAAAGGGTATCAAGAACTTACCCCAAGTCATGAAGAGAGTGGATGGGTGGTCTCTGGGCATTGTCTTTGGAAGGAAGCTTGTAGCTGAGGAAGGAACTAGAGGGGTAGCCACAGCTGGCTTCTGAGTGTCCCACCCCTGGGTGGCTCAGCAGGGCGAGGAGGAGGCAGGAGTGCTGAGGGATGTGGCTGACCGCCTTGCATGTTCTCCCTACAGACTGATGGAGAGGTTCCTCATGGATGGATTGTATCCTTCAAGTTTGAAATGCTCCTTGTGGCCCTGTCTACTCCCATGCCAACTCAGCACCCCTGCGCCCCTGCCCCCGCTTTGCTCTAGGGGTCCAGGGAGGGGCAACTGAGCGTGTGCAGACGGTTCATTCATGCTGGTTTCTTACCAGCTGACCCACATGGCATGCTGCAGTATATTCTGAAGGTTACATCTGGATTCGCCTTATATTAGGAAGGCAGTGGAATGGCTAACCATACCTCGTCCGATGCCTGGACTGACACCTCACCTCCTCCTTAGCAGCTCTGGCAGTGGCTAAGTCACTTAACATCTCTGACCTCAGAGCTTGAACTCTCTACAATTCAAAAATTCTCTGGTGTGCATCAACTTTCTGAAGAAGGATCTGCCAGCCCCACCCTCCTTTCCTGAATTGTCTTTGCTACGCAGGTTTGGAATGAGACAACTGGGATGATTTGTAAAAATTCTTCCCAGGTGAGTCCATTGAGAACTATGGGTCAGCAGAACCCTGGGCCTCAGCCTCCCACGGCAGAGTCTAAGTATATCTTTCTTCACCTTCTCCTCAGTTCTTTGCACTCACTCACCTGTGTTGTCCCAACTCTGACAACTTGCAACTTCAGAAAGTTGTATTCCCCATGCTTTTTGTTAGGGTTTCATACACAGACAAACTGCAGTCCACAAACAGCTTGTCAGCTAGCTGTCTTAAGAAGGAGGCTTGTTTTCCCTGGAACTGTTATGTTGCTTCATATGGCTGAATTTGCTGTATGTCTGCAAGAGCCCCATCCATAAAGAGCTGGAGAATCCACAGTGGCATTTGCCAACTACGTGATGCTGCTTCTGACAGCTGCTCTGTAAACGTCCATTCCACATTTTCCCTTGTACTCAGGTGGCCAGGACATAATCCCAGCCTCTCCTGCCCCTCACTTTTCATGGAGATTGTGCCTGTGATGTTTGAGGTTGAGGTTGGTCCTCTGTCTGCAACACATTCAATTTAAAATCTGAATAACTTTCTAAAGAAGGAGAGAGAGGCTCCATTCCGTCATACCAGCAACCACCCCCTAGCACCTTTCTTATGCTTCTTTTTATTCATTGTTTTCCTTAACCTAAATGCAGTCAGCCCCAGCAGCTGTCCACATACGCCCTGACCCTCTACAAGCACACGGCCATGGTAGATGGCAAGACCGTCCTTGTGGGTGAGCAGCACAATGCTGAGCCGCAGCAGCTCTCCAGAGGGAGGAGAAGGGCTGGGGAGAGAGTCAGGTGGGGGATCCGAGAGCCCAGGCTCAGATGAGGGGTGGTAGGTGCAACCCACAGCCGAGAAGCAAGGGTAGGTGGAAAGAAGCATGCAGGGCTCTATTCCGGTTCTCTTCAGTCAGGAAAATAACAGGTGTTGTCCAAGTGTTGTCTTCCACAAAGGTTTGGCTTTAAGTGGGGTTACGGCCTTTCCCTTGGCCAGGCCACGCATCTGTCTCTGTGCCCAGCACTCATGGGAATTGGGTCTGGTTTTGACCTCGGAGGGTCCTGCATCTTTTTGGGTGGGGGAGGCTGGGCGCTGAGCCTCTCCCTCGTGGGGTCTCCTGTCTATGTTCTCCTTCTTCCTGGCCCCCATCTCCCTCGGCTGTCCTCCCCGCCACTGTAGAGATGCTCAGTGTCCGGGCTCTCTGCCTCTCTGCCCCTGTCGGGCAGTCAGAGCTGTGTTCATGTTGCAGACTTTTGGGACACAGCAGGCCAAGAGCGGTTCCAGAGCATGCACGCCTCCTACTACCACAAGGCCCACGCCTGCATCATGGTATGAAACCAGCTGGGAGGCAGAGGCTCTGCGCAGGTCTGGCCTGAGGGGTGAAGGGATGGGGGCCTGAGCCCTCCTGACCAGGGCTGGGTGCCGGGGGAAGGTTCAGGGCAGGCTTCAGACTGCAGAGGTTCTGCTTGAGAGTCTGCCTGGGCCAGCGTCTCATCTGGGGTGAGGGTGAATGGGGTTTGTGGTGCCGCCATTCCTTCAGGAGGAGCAGGTTCAGGGCCCATCAGCCGTCTCAGAGCCAAACACAGCCCCTCCCTAGTGGAACCATGGACTGCTTTTTCAGGTGCTCCTGTCCTGCCCTTGTGCTTAAGGTACAAAGTCTCATCAAATCTTCCAGAATTTAATGCTAGTACCTATACAGAGGGGCTTTCCTGGTGGCCCAGTGGTAGTGCAAGAGGTTCAGGTTTGATCCCTGGGTTGGAAAGGTTCCCTGGAGAAGGAAATGGCAACCTAATCCAGTCTTTTTGCTTGGGAAATCTCATGGACAGAGGTGCCTGTTGGGCTACAGTCCATGGGATCTCAAAGAAGTCAGACATGATTTTGTGACTAAACAGCTACAAACTGTACAGGGACGAAATGAAATGAAAGGGTGAGGGTGAGGCAGACGGGGCGGGCTGGCGCCCGCAGGCGTGGCCTCTGGCCTGTGACGCGCGTCTGTCAGCCCCTGTGGCCCTCTTCTGTTCTGTCAGCCTGCCCGCGCCTCTCACCAGCCCCAGTCTGCTGTAAGGGCCTCGGCCACGCGGGGACCGATCGCCCCGGAGGGCGGTGGTCTGCCCGCCACGTGCTGCTCAGCCCAACCAGCTCCTCCTCAGCTCCAAACAAGGAAAGGGAGCTCAGGAGACCAGACCTGGGGAAAAGGTCTGATGGTGATCACGGCAGGGGTGAAGCAGATTCCAAAGGTTTCACTACAAGCATGTTTTAGAAGAAGTCTTGTTTGGGAATTCAGTGAAACATGGTCATTTATCGAAGTTGGGCCTGGGGAATACCACACAAGAGCTTCTCAGTAGACGTGCTGCTGCCTCAGGCGGGTCAGCTGCTGACTGGAGCCCGCGGCTGTGCAGGGGGAGCCCCTGTCCTGGCCACGGCTGCTCCCACGAAGGGCTGCGTTGTCTTGAAGTAAGACTTGCCGTCGCAGCAGGGTACATGGCCGTCCCTCTCAACCCACTGCTGTGCTGGGGCAGTTTGGACCTGCGAGTCTGCTCTGGGAGATGGCTCAGCGGCAAGCAGCTGACCTCCGGGGAGTTCCTCTGAGGAGCCGGAAGGATGCTTGTAGTGGCCACTTGAAGCATCTTAGGGCTTCTGGCCTGCCTGTCCTTAGAGCTAGTCAGTGTTCATACTTCTTGCTGATATTTTAATAGGTAAACAGTATAAATTATGAACAGTTGATAAAATGATAAGCTGCAAAATAATAAAAGATAAAAGTTACTTTTTAAAAGTTTAAAATATAAAAAGTTTATAATTAAAGGTAAAACAACTGAAAGGGTATTCTACAAACATTTAAGATTACCATAAAGGAGTTTTAAAAAAATGGATAGGCAGTAATTAGACTAAGAAAAAAACCAAAAAACTTTCAATGTTCACAGATTTATCAATGGTACAATAAGTGAAATGATACTGTGGTTAAAATAGGTAAATTGGGTGACAAGCTGAAGGTTCTCGCGGGATTCTCAGAAGTGTGGGTGAGGCTTGTGGTCAGAGGGGCCACAGCTCGGAGTGGTTCTTCTGAGTTCCCAAGCCTGTGCTTGCTTGCTTGTGTGTGTGTCACCTGGGGGTGGGGGGGTGTGGAGAGACATTGATGCGCTTGGGCGGTCTTCTTTCCTCTGCTGATTCAGGTATTTGACGTGCAGAGGAAAATCACGTACAAGAACCTCAGCACCTGGTATACAGAGCTTCGGGAGTTCAGGCCAGAGATTCCGTGCGTTGTGGTGGCCAATAAAATCGATGGTGAGGCCACCCCTACGTCTGGGTGCCAGCAAATCATGGGGGAGCCCGCCATCACACGTGTTGTCCTCCTTTCCTGGGCCATCAAACCATCAGTGATCTGTTCCTCCCAAAGTAGATCCCTTGGCTGCTTGCCATCACTCCCCTTCCAGTAATATCCACGTGAGCCAACCTGCCTCCTTGAGACACAGATCCCAGCTGAATGAGCTATTTCTATGACATGTCTGCTGATTGTCCCTGCTTGTCCCACTTCATGGAATGGGGACCTCCAGTGACCTACCCTTCAAAGCTCTCCTTTTTCCTGGGTAGACAGGCCAGTGTCCTGCCTTCTCTCTACAGCAGACATGAAGATGACCCAAAAAAGTTTCAACTTTGCCAGGAAGTTCTCCTTGCCTCTGTACTTTGTCTCAGCTGCTGATGGTACCAACGTTGTGAAGGTAATAGGAGATTGCAGAGATGATCTACTGAGGTGGGAAAGGCCTGATGTTTCCGGAGAAGTGGTGGAGAGAAGGGCTGTCTGCAGGGCTGTTGGTGAGGACAGCATTGCTGGGGGCCCTGGTGAACAGGAAGGGGTCATTGTGAGTGTTGACAGTAGGGGAGGTGATGGTTTGGGCTTGGTGAAGAAAAGGCATATTGACCAGCATGGGATCAGGGGACAGGGGAAAAGGTGATGATTTTAGGGTGGAGTATTGTGTGGACACGTGATGACGATGGGCCAGTGGTGCAGGGCAGGCAGAGTCCCAGCCACTGGTGCCCATAGCCTTGTTTTCCTTCCCACCACCCCAGCTCTTCAATGATGCAATTCGATTAGCTGTATCTTACAAACAGAACTCCCGGGACTTCATGGACGAGGTTTTGCAGGAGCTTGAGGTAGGTCTGGCACACATGTCAGGTGGCATCGAGAAAACGGCTTCTCTCCATAGGGGTGCAGAGCTAACTCAGTAGACCCGACTTGGCAGGCAGCACATTCTTGTGGGCACGGCCCCTAGAGGTGTCAGAGCTTCAGCTGGGCACATGCAAAACCAGGCCTCACCTGCCGCCTTGTTCACAGAACATCAACTTGAAGCAGGAGGAGGAGGAGGAGATGCCGGACAAAGAGCAGCCTGGCCGCATCCAGAGCCCGTCTCCCTCCTGACCACAGGAGGCCTCTCTACGGTCCACCTCCCTTGGCAACCCTTTCAACTCTCAGTGGAGGCACTCTCCCAGGCCGTCCCCTGCTACACCTACAAACCCAGCTGTCCCATTTGCACCCTCCAACCCCGACTTCCATGGCCCAGGAAACCTGATCCTTCAATACATGCCACTAACAGGTGTAAGGCCCATACCAGACCCTGAAGCCAAATTAGGGATGGACCCTCCAGGTCATATGGGACAGTAAAGAAAATCGGAATATTCTCTGTATGTCTCATCAAGGATATTTAGGTGTCTCCCCCTGCCCCCTCAAGAGCTGATGTCAGGGCCTATTCATTGCATTTCCACCAAGAGGATGATTTCTAATTCCTGACTTTTCTCCTCTTTAGGCTCCCAGCTAAACAAGTCATTTTAAGAATGATTTTGAGCAGAGAGCTGTTTGTTCCATAAGTTTTTCTAGAGCTCTTCTGGATATGGCCAGTACTTTGATGAATAGTGAGGCTAAGATCACAGGCCCAAGTTTGCTGTTAACATCAAGTGAAAGCAGGTGACCGGTCTGGCCACACAGTAACACAAACATCATTGTTGTGAGCATCAAGGGTCAATACAGCCACATCACAAGGCATGCATGATAAATTGACTTGGAAGCTTCTTTTAAAATCCATATTTCAACATAGGAGGCTTTTCTTAATTTTTCTGAGAACTAGTGTGGGCACTGAACCTCCTTGGTTGGCAAGGGCTGCTGAGAACTGTTGTGCTGCCTTTTCCATTTATCTCCAGGACTTGTCGCTCACTAGAATGCTTTTATGATCATCTTGTACATCGTTTCCATTAAAAATTTTTTTACAATAAAGATTGAATTACAGAAACATTGGGTCAATGTGCCTGCTTTGTGGGTATGGATTCTTTTTATAAGCAAAAAGTCACAAAGGAATGAGTGGACCAACAGCCGCATTGATGGGGGGAGATGGCTGTATTTGTCAAGCAGGGGTGACCAGGTTCACTGTGTTTATTGACACAGAGATCATTTCAGTGGAATTTAGGGTTTTAAAAGAATGGGTATTTGTTTGGGAATCAAGAACAAACATTTTTACTCTTTAAATTATTGATGCTTGCAATTTCAACTTAAGAAATGTAACCTGAATTCAGGAATGTGTTACCCTGGTGAGATGGGCTTTTAAAAACAACAACAACAACAACAAAAACCTTTATTATAAATGAATAATGTGTTTAGAAAATAATGGCTTCGTTGAGATATGATTCAAATACCATAAGATTCACCATGAGTATTGGGCTTACATAACCATTTTTGCATCAGTTCTCATAGAAGCAAAGCCTGAGAAGACAAATCTTGGTTAGATGAATTATTGGGGCAGTTCTCTGTCTTTGCTAGGGACCAGCTTCAGCCTGCATCTCCCTGAGGGAACTCTGAGGACAGACTGTCCCGCAGGGTTGATCCCACTTTGAGACCAGGGGGATTTTTGTGCCAGTTAGCACAGTGTGTGAAGAGGAACAGGTGGAAGGGATGACGTGTGGTGTCTAGCTCAAAGTGGCTCCTGTTTTAGCAAGGGCAGGTCTCTGGGGAAAAGGCAGCTATGAGTTCAACACTCAAAGCAGGTAGGGGAGAAGTGCTCAGGTGGGGTGTCAACAACATCCATGGCCACGTAGCCCCACATTGCTCAGCTCCACCTGCCTCTTAAAGGTCATTTCATTATGACACACAGGAACACCACCCTTGAATCTTATTTAATATGTTACTGAAGTGAAACTTACATAACAAAGTTACCACGTGAAAGTACACAAGGCGGTGCCATTTAGAACAGTTACATTGTTGGGCGACCATCAGTTCAGTTCAGCTGCTCAGTGTGTCCGACTCTTTGCGACCCCGTGAATCGCAGCACACCAGGCCTCCCTGTCCATCACCAACTCCCAGAGTTTATTCAAACTCAAGTTCATCGAGTCCATGATGCCATCCAGCCATCTCATCCTCTGTCGTTCCCTTCTTCTCCTGCCCTCAATCCCTCCCAGCATCAGGGTCTTTTCCAATGAGTCAGTTCTTTGCATCAGGTGGCCAAAGTACTGGAGTTTCAGCTTCAGCTTCAGCCCTTCCAATGAATATTCAGAGTTGATTTCCTTGCTGTCCAAGAGACTCTCAAGAGTCTTCTCCAACACCAGAGTTCAAAAGTATGAGTTCTTTGGCGCTCAGCTTTCTTTATGGTCCAACTCTCACATCCATACATGACTACTGGAAAAACCATAGCTTTTACTAGACAGACCTTTGTGGGCAAAGTAGTGTTACTGCTTTTTAATATACTGTCTAGGTTTGTCATAGCTTTTCTTCCAAGGAGCAAGCATATTTTAATTTCATGGCTGCAGATACCATCTGCAGTGATTTTGGAGCCCAAGAAAATAAAGCCTGTCACTGTTTCCATTGTTTCTCTATTTGCCATGGAGTAATGGAACTGGATACCTTGATTTTAGTTATTTGAATGTTGAGTTTTAAAATCATATTTCCAGATTTGGGAGATGGACAGAAATCCTGGGGATCTTGTGGGACTTGGGGCTGGAACTGATCATGTCTATGCATCAAAGCCATTTTTGTTAAAAAGTAAAAATCATGATTTATAATCTCAAGATGCTGCTGAGTCTTCTGGAGCCAGTACCCCTGGTGTGGCTCTCCCTGGTGTGGATGGCGGTTGGGAGTTCCTCACCTCTCCCCGACCTCCCCACCACCTCCTCCCCACCTCCTCCCCTGTCTCCTCCCCACCTCCTCCTTGGGTAGCAAGAGTACACCATCTCCACACTGTTTCTATCCCCTGGACCTTCCCGCCTCCGTCTCTGCTGCCATCACCTTTTCCTCCTTGCCTGCTTTGCCTGAACTCCTGTTCAGCCTTCAAAGCCTGCCATGAATGATCCTTCTGACCCTGCCTGAGCGGCTAACATGACCCTCTTCATGCTGTGCCCTCGTTCAGAACCTCTGTCCATTAAACTGCTCTGAATGATCTAATTTCACCACAACTAATGTTGAACCATGGGCTTCCCCGGTGGCTCAGCGGTAAAGAATCCACCTGNTTACTTCGCTCTGTATAATGGGCTCCAGTTTCCTCCATCTCATTAGAACTGATTCAAATGAATTCTTTTTAATGGCTGAGTAATATTCCATGGTGTATATGGCTGTGGTACATATCTACCGTTCTTTGGATGCAGTAGGCTTGGTTTCTCTGCCGGAGGGCCCGCCTGGATCCAGAGACTGGGGACTCAGTCTCAAAGTAAGAAGCACTCCAGGTCCATCGTGAGGACACGTTGCCTGCCTCATCCTCCCAGCTCCCTCAGCTCCACTCTAGCCTTGGTACCAAAGCCTGCTCTGGCTCCAGGGATGTGATACCAGCCCAGGTCACCATGGCCTAAAGGAATAGAGTTAGCATTTCTTGTGTGTTTTCTTTTTCTACCTTAAAAAAGTTTGAATTTTTTTAAAGATGAAGTTTTCTATATAGATATAGAACAATGCTGTGGGTGGTTGGGTTTGTTTTTTTTTTTTTTTTCCCTCCTTTTTGATCTGTAGCAACTTGATTCCCTTATGCAGAGATGTATGTATTTTCTTGTTTGGGTTCTTTTCTTATATAGGTTATTATAGGGTGTTGTGTAGGATTGCATTACACAGTGGGTCCTTGTGGCTTATTTTATAAATAGTAACATGCATATGTTAGTCTGAACCAGCTCATTTTTCCCTGCCCCACACCTTTCTTTTTTGGTAACCCTTAGTTTCTTTTCTAAGTCTGTGAGGCTGTTTCTCTTTGGTAGAGAAGTTCATTTGTATCCATTTTTAGATTCAATCTAGAAGTAATATCACATGATACTTGTCTGTCTCTCCTACTTCACTTAGTATGATCATCTCTACATTTCCTTTTTTTTTTTGCTGAGTAATATTACATAATGTTTATGTACCTCATCTTCTTCATCCATTCATCTGTCCTTGTAACTACTACGCTGTAATAACATGGGTACCAGTGTCTTTTAAAATTTTGGTTTTCTCTGGTTCTATACCCACGCATGGGATTGCTTGGTCCTAAGGTACTTCTTTTAGTTTTGTAAAAGAACCTCAATATTGTTCTCCTTAGTGGATGTAACAATTTAAATTCCAAGAACAGTGCAGAAGTTTCCCTTCTCTCTATACCGGCTCCAGCATTTCTGGTTGGAGACGGTTGAGATGGCCATTCAGACTGGTATCTCAATGGACCAGTTTGCCTTTCTCTAAGTAAAGTAATGCCAGCAAAGTAATGTTTAAAAGTAATGCTCAGGGCTTCAACAGTCCATGAACCGAGAACTTCCAGATGTTCAACCTGGATTTAGAAAAGGCAGAGGAATCAGATATCAAATTGCCAACATCCATTGGATCATAGAAAAAGCAAGAGAATTTCAGAAAAACATATACTTCTGCTTTATTGACTATGCCAAAGCCTTTGATTCTGTGGATCACAACAAACTGTGGACAATTCTTCAAGAGATGGGAATACCAGACCACCTGACCTGCCTCCTGAGAAATCTGTATGCAAGTCAAGAAGCAACAGCTGGAACCGGACACGGAACAACAGATTGGTTCAAAATTGAGAAAGGAGTACGTCAAGGCTGTATGTTGTCACCTGCTTATTTAACTTATATGCAGAGTACATCATGCGAAATACCGGGCTGGATGAAGCACAAGCTGGAATCAAGATTTCCGAGAGAAATATCAATAACCTCAGATATGCAGATGACACCACCCTTATGGCAGAAAGCGAAGAGGAACTAAAGAACCTCTTGATGAAAGTGAAAGAGGAGAGTGAAAAAGTTGGCTTAAAACTCAACACTCAGAAAACTAAGATCATGGCATCTGGTCCCATCACTTCGTGGTAAATGGATGGGGAAACGATGGAAACAGTGACAGACTTTATTTTCTTGGGCTCCAAAATCGCTGCAGATGGTAACTGCAGCCGTGAAATTGACGCTTGCTCCTTAAAAGAAAAGCTATGACGAACCTAGACAGCGTATTAAAAAGCAGAGACATTACTTTGCCCACAAAGGTCTGTCTAGTCAAGGCTCTGGTTTTTCCAGTAGTCATGTATGGATGTGAGAGGTGGGCCATAAAGAAAGCTGAGCGCCGAAGAACTGATGCTTTTGAACTCTGGTGTTGGAGAAGACTCTTGAGAGCCCCTTGGACATCAAGGAGATCCAACCAGTTCATCCTAAAGAAGATCAGTCCTGGGTGTTCATTGGAAGGACTGATGCTGAAGCTGAAACTCCAATACTTTGGCCATCTGACGTGAAGAAATTATTCACTGGAAAAGACCCTGATTCTGGGTAAGATTGAAGGCAGGAGGAGAAAGGGACGAAAGAGGTTGGATGGCATTGCCAACTCAATGGACCTGAGTTTGAGCAAGCTCTAGGAGTTGGTGATAGACAGGGAAGCCTGGCATGCTGCAGTCCATGGGGTCGCAAAGAGTCAGACATGACAGAGTGGCTAAACTGAACTGAACTGAACTAGGGTCCTGATGTATGCAGTCCCTGGCCAATCAGTTTAAAAATCACATCAGCCTGTCAATATTTATGGCTCTCTTTTTGATCTCCCAGTTGTTGAATTTTGTTATGATATTGAGTCTCCATCCCCTGACCTTTTCTCATGACTTCAGACCATTGTCTGAGGACCAGATGTATGCTCTAAAGTTAATGGACCACCTGGTGGTTTTCACCTTGATCAGTTTCTGATTGTCCTGTCATGGGTTTGGGTGTTTCATGGCCTTCAGGTCAAGGGGGCATGAAGACACTCTCTTTGAAAGTCAAGAAAATGGAACAGCCTGTGTGGTTATAGATCACTGGAGTGAAATGCTTATGTGA